GTCCTAGACTAAACTGTCAAACACTCAAACTATGTTATTGTTTGGTCGCAAAATTGCAAATATAAAAATTAAAATATGTCGAGAGAAACGCTATTGAAAGTTTCAATCAGGACCTCTGAATAACGACAAGAGGTAGAAAAGCAAGCTCGGAAAATGTAAATGACCACTGTTGTTTGTGTATTGAGTGTGATTTAAAACTAAAGCACAGGGCAATAGAGAAAATATCTTATATATCGTCGGAGAATTTTTATATATTTAAGGCAAGCAAAAGAAACGATTACGACAGTGGCAAAACCTTGGCCGATCAATAAGCCGATCACGAATTGTGTTCAGTTCATTTAGGAATCTAAGATAGTTCTATCTCGGAACTATCCGACCCGGTTTGTAAACCGTGTGTGCGAATTCGAAAGATCCGAAACGCAAGCGAACTGATTGCCATATTAATCAAACGAGACATAAACACGTTGCGTCGTTGCCTGTGTACGTATCGAACAAATAGACTGTTGCCTAAAAACGTCGCTTGCCAATATAAACTGTCTCGTCTCCCTAACGAAGCCGTGTGTTAAAGAAAGCCTTAAAAGTTCAGAAAGTGAAGCACTGAAGCGGTAACAGGCCTAGGCGTAGTAGTCCTGTTAAACCAGTTAAACCCCTACAGCGGTCTGTATTTATTCTCGTTATATTTTCTTGCGCCAACAAGAACAATGTATAGAACGGTCAAAACTTTCTTTACAAGGAGTAAATCTTTAATTAACTGCTTTCTCTTGCTCGCGTTTCAGATTTGACAATCAGTTCGCGTTAATTCGACTTTCGAGTTCCCGTCCACTGGTGGACGGGGAATTCTGATTACACTGCTCTGATTACACTGCCAAAACCCAGCAGGCGGTATTTCCCAGGCTTGCCCGATTTTGGGGACCGCCTGCCGTGCAGGCTACACTGGTGTCGCTTCAATGCAGAAATTGATACGATTACATCATTTCATATGTAAACAAAAGCCCTATCCGGTATGATTTTTGCGTCGCCACGCAAGCTATCCGATACAATGTAAACATAGCCTAAGCGAAAGTGAAAGGAAATGATTAAAGTAGTCCGTGCATGAGCTTCCTGCAACCGCTATATTACTTCCCGCACTGATTATCCCCCATCGCAACCCGCACTATGTTTATCCGCACTATGCAGTTGAAGCTTGACAGTAATAAATTTAAAATATGAAAAATAGAAAGCAAAGAAGAAAGATAAAAAAGTATGTTAATAGAGAGCTTAAACTTCGCGTTCAACGACAAACGACAAACGTCAGGCAGAGAAAAAATATACGCTATAAAACAAGAAGTAAATGGGCTTGTTGTTTTATAACTAGAATGCTTTTAAAACTATTCCTGTGTCATATGAATAAGGATAAGGATATAGATAATATTTGGGCATGCAGCATGATCTGATATGTTGTTTACAGCAGTTGATAAATGTATTCCTAAACGAGCTGCTAGGAAGAAAATTAATGCGCCTTGGATTGATAAAGAACTGATAACGTTATGTAGAAGAAAACGATCTTCTAAAGTAGTGGATTGGGAAAAATACCGTAAATTAAACAACTCTGTCAAAAGAGCTTGTAACTTAGCTCAAAAGCGACACGTTAACCACCTAGCTGATGAATTGAAGGAAAACAATAATCCAAAACCCTTTTGGAGCTTTGTTAAGTCTAAACAAAAAGGTACAAATGACTTGATATCCTTAAAGGTTGGAGATGAAATCCTAACAGATGACTTAAGCATAGCTGAAAGTATGAGTTTTTTTTTTTTTCTACTGTGTTTACATCAGAGGATTATAACAACTTCCCTGAATTTGAATATAGAACCGAATCTAGGCTGTCAACGATTGTTTGCTCTGCCAATGAGGTAGCGAAGCTTTTAAATAATTTAAATGTTTACAAATCTCCAAGGCCTGAAGGCCTTACCAGCACGAATATTGAAAGAATGGGCATATGAATTATCTCCATCGCTAAGTTCATTGTTAAATTTATCATTCTCACGGGGCGAGCTACCGACGGGTTGGAAGTTTGCAAACATCATTCCAGTTTATAAAAAGGGGAGCAAAAGTAAGAGAGAAAATTACCGCCAGATATCGTTGACGTCTATTGTATGTAAGATAGGTGAAAAAATAGTAAGATCTAGAGTTGTGGATTTCTGGATAGACCTAAAAATCTTTAATTCAAATCAATTCGCGTATCTCAAAAATAAATCTACTCTTACGCAGTTACTTTCGTGTTATGACGATTGGGCTAAATCAAGAAACAAGTCAAAACCAACAGATGTTATTTTATTAGATTTCACTAAGGCATTTGACAGCGTTCCCCATGAACATAGAATAAAGATCCATATACAGGGTGTAAAAAATAACCTGAACCCTTTCAAATTCAAATTAGCTATAACGTATTGTAGTAATTTGACAGCTCTAATTGCCTTGAATTAATGGTTGGGTAAGAACACAAGGAATACTGCATTTCTTTTAAATTTTCTAATTTTTATTTCTTTGAGTTACTACAATACGTTATAGCTAATTTGAATTTGAAAGGGTTCAGTTTTTTTTATACACACTGTAGAAGGGCCACTTACGTCGGAAGCTTTGAAGTTTCTGTCCTCGCGCATGTCGCATTACGCATGTTGGCCGCCATTTTCCTAGCCAGTCAATGACATTTTCTGGCCAATAAACACGCTGTACTGGCTGGCTGTTCCGCCTTCCGGCCAGTAAACTGCATATTTTTGCATAAAAAAACGCGGACACGTTGCACCGCTGAGTGGCCATTCTGTTACTGATCTTTATTCTGTGGTTAAAGTGCCTATGCAACGAATTTTTCACCTCATTTTTTATTGTTTTTCTAAAAAGTACTGCTGCAGTGATGAAGAATGACGTTTACAGTTTCGTCATATCTCATCTCATTCTCAAGTTATCACACTTTCTATATTTTGAGTTGTGACGTCACAAGTATGAGTTGAGATAATGGCAATAACAAGAAAGTATGATATTTTGGTGAGTATTTAATAAAATTGAATGAAACTTGGTACACTTAGTGGGTGCACTCATATGAATATTTTGGATAGGTCATGTGGTTGTCATGGCAACACACTAGTCCCCAGTCTCTTCTCTTCTTTTCACATCTTTCCTCCCGTAGACCTCTTGCAGAGGATGTTTACATGTTATAACTGTATAAACTGATCACAATACCTACACGTATTATAGTAATAAGCGAAAATTGTAGAAATTGCTATTTATTTCGTTGAAAATGGATCATATAGAAATTGGAAGAGAAGGTACTGGGGACGAGTGTGTTGCCATAACAACCATATAAACAAGTCAAATTGTTGACTTTGTTGCACCCACTAAGTGTACCAAGTTTCATTAAATTGTATCAAATACTCACCAAGATATCATACTTTCTTGTTATTGCCATTATCTCAACTCATGTTTGTGACGTCACAACTCAAAATATACAAAGTGCAATAACTTGAGAATGAGATGAGATATGACAAAACTGTAAACGTCACTTTTCATCACTCCAGCAGTACTTTTTAGAAAAACAATAAAAAATGAGGTGAAAATTTCGTTGCATAGGCACTTTAAGGTTAAAGACTTTCACACAAAAGAAGAAATGTGAAGCGAAATTTTGGTGGGGTTGAAGTACTGTTTAATAAATAAACGAGCAGGAGTGTTTTATTAAGTTTAAATCACAAATCCGTTCATGTGTTAATCACAAATCCGTTCTTGTTATAAAATATTTGATAAAAATAGATTTTTTGGGTACTTATAATGTAGAATAAACAAAAAATGTTCGCAAAGATAAATTTCCCAGAGCG